ATGCATCCAAAATTGATATAATCAAATTTTGGACACTGAAAATTGGCGACCAATTAACTTTCGGATGCGATTTCTACTCACTTCTTCCAGCGAGCTATCAGGCTGTAAGTAGTTTTAATTCTTTCACACAGCATGATTATGTCTCATTCTCCTTTTGCTGTGTAGAGATGGTTCTACCTCGTTTTCCCAATTGGTCCCTTCAAAGTACCTCGTCCTGCGGCTTCTGCCGTACTAGCCATGGAACATTCCAGCGTGGTACCTTGGACTTGGTACATTTTCAGACGATTCGCCGGCAGCGTAACCGGCATCGTTATCAAGTAGTGCTAGTCCTAGCACCAAGCTACAATTCAACAAAGAGGGATGTTGATTAGTGCCAAGAATGGCAAGACCTACTTACGATGCCGAATAGAATGCCAGTTAAATGTCAAAGATCCCACTTTGAAAGTTGTCAATTTTACTATGGCTGAGGTTGTCGGACTGGGCACATTGAGCGAAGTCGCCAAGTTTAAAAAATATATTCAAACCACTTACACTCTTAAGGCAGATCATCTGGCAGAAAATAGATCAAACTCTTGTTTAGCCAGACTTTATACAGTCTACAACAACTCGTCAAAGAGACAAGTGAAGCCGAAACGTTGGGGAATGTACCACGTCCACGGTTCAACTTTAGAAATGATCACGCAGACAAAATGATCCCGGACTAGGCGCGTTCCAATAAGTCTTCCTACCAATATGAGAAAACAAGGTCGAACAACCTCTATACAACGAAAGGAGACTGCGACCATACAAAAGGCCACATCATCTTGGTCTTCATACCTTTTATAATTTGATTGAAGATATGAAGACCAAGATGTTTTGACCTATGGTATGGCCGCAGTCTCCTTTCGATTTATAGAAGTGGGTTGACCTGGTTGTCGCAACTTGGTCTTTTCGTCAGAGGGACTTAGTAGAACGCACAAAGGTTAAATTAAACAAGTTTAAATTCCAATCGTCAACAGTGAGAAGTTGTGATAGGGTAAGAGTTGGATAAGAGGCTAAAGAGTAGATAGATATGCCAGGACAGAAAGAGGAGTGATAGTGTAACTGTTTCCGGCAGAACGGTTGTCGAGGGATTGACTTTACTTGTCTCTTTGACGAGTTCGTAGCTTGTTGCACAGAATGGCAAAACTGACTGATGATGCCGGCAAAACGTTTAAGAATGTACCAATCATGACAACTACTATGGCAGACGACTTCGGACTAGGTGAGTTCTACTAAGTCGCCCTGACAACAAGACCAAGTTGCGACAACGAGGTCAACCCACTTTTTATACAGTTTAGCTTTACTAACGTATTTTACATCGGTGAAACTTTTGGAAATGTACTAAATTCACGGATGTCCTCCTGACTACTAAGACAGAGGTCGTTGTAAAAGGTATCGTCAATGAAGTCACCAAGTTGCTAAAATGCATTTAAAACCTAGAAAATGTCCCTGAATTCTGACATAAGGAGTTCGGCTTGATGACCACAAAAGGCGACTTTTGGGCTTTGCCTTTGTCTGACTTAACCAACGAAAAGCCATGTTTTCGCGTTTCTTGCAACCCTCAGCCAACGGCAGTCCGAGTCACCAACGCGAAGCGAGCGGCCTGAGCCATGCAGCGCCAGTCAGTCAATTTGGCCAGCCGACTCTGCAATACAGCTCGACTCCGAGTCTCACCTCGACCGCCAACCTGTCCGGTCCCAACAATACGGGCAACAGTGCAAATCGTGGGATGGCCGAGACCGGAATGCCCAAAGACGACACGGTTGTGTGCCACACCAGCCGATATGGCCTCATTGAACCGGAAGTCGAGACGTGCCAACCGCCTCTGAGCCCGTTTGCTAGACTCGACGCTGGTACAGCTACAGCTGCCGCCACTGCAGCTGCCATGGCAGCCGCTCTTTTCCCAAGAGGCACTTTGCCCATTCTCATACCTCTCAACACTGGACTTGCCTGGCCGACGTCAGATGGACCAATGACTCCGTCGATGGCAACCACGACGACCACTGGTGACCAGACCTTCGTGCCCGCCTTGGTGACTATCTCGCGCCAGTCGGACGGCCCGGTCGCTCAGGCGGGCATGGAAACACGCAATGACCTGATTCCTTCTTTCTCAGCCACCTCGGAGATATCCGGCTTTCCACAACCCTTTTTCACCCTCCACGA